AAAACCAAGAACTTTGATTCTATCCCTAAAAGTATACGATGAAGCTTAAATTTTCGTTACTTTTAAAACATCTAATAGAATACCTGATTTTAAGACTAAATTGGAAACCCACCTTTTTAGAGTACTGACTGATGGCAAAAATAATTTAACCATATTTCTAAGGTTGCGATACGTCTTTGCACTGATATATTTGAGCGATATTGCAGCAGAGATATCCTCCATGTTCCATTTAATTTTTTTGTCTGGATTGAAAAGCATTTTAATTCGACCAGGTGTGAGAAATTAATTCAAAATACTTTCATATTCACTTCCATTCTTGTTGTTGCTTTGCATGTTCTTTGTTACTTTATTTTTATTTCCTGCAGGCAAGTTGCCCCATACTTGACATGACAATGACTTTTTCTTAGGCAAATACCCAAAGTTCAAAAAAGCATTTTTTTCAACAGCTCAATGCCATCTCAAACACGAATAGATTATATTTCGTGAGTGAACGATACAATGAACTGCATTTATTTCCTAAGCGGCACAAAACTCTTTCAAAGAACTATGAAAATTTATAAATTTTGGAAGGAAGGCTCCATATTTACTAAAAAAAACCAGGTGTAGGTCTCGGGACGCCCGGCAGAAGTAACACTTTCAACTCAAATGTTATTAAACTTAGTGTAATAGAAACTGAAAAAATCAGAGTACACCTAATTTCACTAGATCATTAAGAATCCAATAGTAAAATAGTGAAAATTTTAATTCTATTACGTATTCGAGGTCGCGTGTGCATTGAATACGTATACTTAAATATACTACTTATGTTACACGTAATACGCACATTCTAAGTACTTCCATGTTGGCTAAGATATATGTAATACCTGTACGAATTGTCGGTCATGTAATGCAGAATGAAACAAAAATTTACACCATACTGCGCCAAAAAAGGTACTTTTGTCCCATTACCCAAGACAAAAATTCTTTTTGTTTAAATTTAATATTCGTGCATTTAATATGACATCAAATTTGTACAATAAAATCTTGTTAGAATCTTTGTATCTGACAAATAAAAATTTTTTTTTGAATTTTGGCTACCATAAAAGTACCATCCACTATATGTTATTGAGATTAAAGAAAACAATAGACATATAGCTATTTTCCATTGTAAAATTGTAATTTTTCATTCTATTCGTTTTCTATATTAACTTATAATTTTATAGTGAAATTCACCCGTGCTTATCTAATTTCTACTAATCTCAAAATTAATGATAAGAATACAGGTTTTGGTCACGTGACAATTTTTCTTATAATACATGATAAAGAACAGAAAATTAACAAATTTATAGGTAGGATATAAAGGATGTAGCTTTGCCTTTAAAATATGACTTATTATTTTTATAATTATTACAATTGTTTGTATAAATCTGTGTAACATATATTTTTGCACCTCGGTAATTATTTTCTATACGTAGAATTTTTAGGCCTATCTGGCTTTCCTTTTGAGATACGACTGTTTTTCTAATTTGGAGAGGTTATGTTGTAACAAAAAATTATTCGAAGATTTCCTCAACGTCTGAATTAATTGTCTAAACATGCCGTAATTTTTTTTTTTGACGTACTCTTTTCAAGATACAGTAAAAAGCGAAAGATTGATGTTGTGTTAGTGCATAGTCCTACTCCTTTCTGTTTGTGTGAGTCAATCATGTAGTGATTTGATAGTTCCCCTTTCTAAAATCCGTAAAAATGATTAATTTGAGTCTATCTAGCTTCCTTTTTAAGATATGACTGTTTTCCAAATTTTAAGAGGTTATTTTACAGGAATGCAATGGCACATTGTTTCAGCAACAAATAAGCAACAAATTTTCTCGCTTGCGGATCTGCTTTATCCAGTTGTGAAGTTAAGATACGTGATATGTGATGCTCGCTTGATATTAAGCAAGCGAAACTTGTTATATCTAAGGTATATGAAACTAGCACTACTATGTTGAATTTCCCATTCCAAATGAGCACCATAAATTGTCGCTTATTCGTTGCTAATTTTTTGCCAATTCAAAAAATTTATCACTGTAGCCAGCTAATAATATACCGACATAGTAGTAGTCTAATATCAAGCTAGCAGCACACTTTGCGTATCTTTCCGTAAGATCGGCGCAAGGCACATATACAGGCACCAAAATTTGTCACTAATCCATCGCTAAAAGATAGCTTTACTGACTTCATCGCGAGCCCAGCGTCCATGAACCTGAAATTGATAACAAGAGTTAGCGGCCAGCCAGGGGCGAATAGGTGGTGTCAAGGGGCCCCGTGACTTAACAAAATAACAAATATGAAGGCTAGCCGCAGCTCAGAACAACTTTTAACAATATTAAAAAATAATTAAACTTTATTCAATGCCAGAATACGGCAAATGGCAAAAACCAAAAAAAAAATACACTTTACGATGTAAAATCATCCCTTCCGGTATAATATGCTTGATGTATGTAGAATAGAAGTTAACAATTTTAAAACTGTCGCACATAATGTATTACAATTCAGATGCAGCTGTGACATTCCAAATCGACGAGCAACGCCACGTACATTATTTTAGAATAATGAAATGAGAACATGACCTTAACAACTAAAAAAAAAATACTATATTTCGGCAAAGCAGCGTAAGTTAGAAATATCAATATTTACGAGTATCATACAAGAAAATGAAATTATTGAGGTGCACAAATAAAAATGTGGCATGTAACTTAAAAGCATGACCTTAAATTTTTTGTATTGAAGCTGTATTTTTATACAATTGTGGTAAAAATTTTTAGTAACTTCATTATTTTAAAAAAATAAGACTGAACTAAATGAGAATAATATATTCAAACATAATCTTAAGTCTTTTCTTGCGCTGATTATGTTTTCATAAAAAAAATGTTTAAATTGTTAAAATAATCATAGCACATTTATAGTATAAACGCAAATATCATTTTGAAATGATTTCATAAAAACATAGCTTAAAGAAACGCTGTTTTCACGTATAACGTAAAGCAAAATCAGCTAAAAAAAAAAGTTTTCTAAATGGTAATGATAACATAAAGATTTACTAATAAATAAGGATTCATCAGTACAAAAGTAGTTTTTGAGTTTTCTCTTGCTAAATTTTTTTATGAAGCAAACGTGACAAAATTTTTTTTAATGTAGCATTTTCAGAAAATCAGTATAGACGTGTACGAATTATTGTTCATTGTTGATTATGTGCTTGTATAGTAAAGTGTATTAAAAGAATACTTGTACTGGTACTTTTTTTTCAATCTAATCATTAGAAAACTCTGGTGAGTTGATTTTGTTCGAAAATGAGGGACATTTCATCATTTAATATAATAATCTTTGTACTTGCATATTTATAAGTATATTCATAAGTATTTTATTTCTTCATCATCAAGCTCAGCAATACACCTTTTTGAAGTTTTACTTCTTTTGATGGTCCTGAGGTACGCACCTCAGTTTTAAATATTTTTTCTTAGCATGGGCCCAAAGTGCAACTGCCGCTTTGCGCCCTCCAGGCCTAAAGTACTTTTCTGCCCTAGGGCCCGAAGTGATTTACCGAGCGCAAAGTGTGCCCACGGGCGCCCTTGGTAAGAAAAACATTATACGTGACTCGGGCACCAACATACAACATTCGCGCCCTTCGGGCGTTCATGTTTGTACTTTGTGCCCTAGTGACGCAATGTACCATATGAATACGCTTGTATGTGGAGAGTCAGATCCTCTTACAGAAATTTTAAGTCCCTTAATTAAGACTTATCTACTAGTAGTTTTAGTCGAAGTATAAAAATGTTTTTCTCACTTCTGCTGAAACTACATTTTTCTTTTCCAATTTCAGGAGAGCAAGTGTTACATTTTCTCCCTAGCAAACTAAATTCGGTCTTTATTGGCGAACACTTACTCCTTTATTGCATGGTTTCCACCGCCGTCGCACAGTGAGCGAATTTGGTTTTTTTACTCAAAACCTAATATCTCGCGAACTTTGATAGATAGATTAATAAATTTTTTTTTATTTGCTTTATTTGATGATAAATATTGAAAAAAAACTGTAGAGAAGTCAGTAAAATTGAAACCTAACCTATAAGTTTGTAGTACAATTTGCCGAAATTGATTCTAATTACAACTGAATAAGAAAAATAAGACTCAAAATCGCAAAAAATCGATGTTTACCACAAATTTGTAGGTTAGGTTGCGATTCAACTGACTTTTCTATAGTTTTTCTTTAATCTTTAGTATCAAAGAAAAAAAATAAAGAAAAAATTACTTATCCGTCCATTAACGTTAGCGAGATATTAGGTTTTGAGTAAAAAAACAGAATTCGCCCACTGTGTGCCGCTTTTGGAGAAGAATTCTAATACCATAGACGTTAGTAAATTTTTTCAAGTAACAGTGAATAAAATTTTTGCTTAGGGTGCTATGTTGTTTGCTTATTTGTGAATTTAAGGTAGATAGAATATGACTCACGATAGGAGGAAAAGTAAATAATGTTTAAAATTTAAGGCAGCTAATAATTATGCGATTCGAGGGATTCTTCATTTACTCCCACAGATTGTGTAAGATTTTATACATCTGCGTCGGAGTGAAACGACTTCTTCGCCCCGCGCAACAAGAGAAAAGAAGCTATTTTCCTTCAGCAGATACAAAAAACGTGTTTTTGTAAACAGCCCTCGGCAAAAATAATTAATACCTTGCATAAGACTTTTGTCATCTTCTGTTTCACGTCAGGTATTAAATGACCGTATTCTGAAACTTTATGTAGGAAGTAGAAAAATAAAGAAAATAAAACCTTTGTAGTTTAAGAAAAAAGTATGGTATCACCTCCCGGGTGATTGCCAACGTTGCCTTTGACTCTGATGGCAATTTATGCCTGGGAGGAATTACCGTACTTACGTCCCTTTGTAAGTAAAATACTAAAATATGTTCTGAGCTTTCGTAAAAGTCCACATCCATTGTTTGCGTGTTAAGTGTCTATAAATTTTATTTTGTTTTTTTCACAGAGTCTGCAGAAACTAAACAATTCAGGATCATTGACCGATTTAATCTATTTACCATTGGTTGAATCTGCATTATCTGCTTTCAACAACATATCGTATAATGTAATTTATAAAGAAAAAGAAGTTAACCCTCTTGTCGAAGAAAAGTTAGCAATCATTTCCGTTGGTGACATTAATGTCATACCGCAAAAGTACAAAGTGTTAAGGGACTCAAATCGTAACTTTGTACTTGCAATTACCGGAAAATCCTGTTTATATTCACCATCTACAAATCGTATAAAGAGAGCTACAAAGCCTGACAACAATGAGGGTACTTCAAAAATCTTGTTTCATATAGATCAAGTTCCATCAATTAAGGTAGTGTGCTATAAAGTAATATTTATTGTTTTTATGTTATAATATTTTTTTTCAACTTTGAGTCTTATGAAATTTTTGTAACACATATTTAAAATATCCAAAACACTCATTTTTAGAAGTTGTAAATAAAAGTACAATTTTTTGTAAAATTGTCTGTAATAAATGTATATGCAAAATTTCAGGGATCAATGTTTTCATTTTCGAATACTGTGTGGTATTATTTTTGCTCTTATTTACTAGGTAAAAGACTAATAGATTTTAGAAGTGTATCTAGAATTTTAAAATACAATAAAAAGTCAGTGTCGCCTAAACCATGATTCTCTTTCCAACCAGGATTTATACCCGATAATTCAGGAAATACAAAAATACACACAATCATAGCTTAGTTTTCCGATCATATCAGTCGGATATTATATGCAATTGCAATTATTCTTTGTTAGTGTATATATATATAACATCAACACATGTTTAACAGTTACATACCAAGCAAGTCTAACTTTTTTTGTTGAAAATCGCATGAATCGGCCTAAATTATTTATATAAGTGTAAGCAATGAAAATTAACTTTTAAGTAAGAATGTACATGCGAATTGGTGTGGGCATATGCGGACGCGGGGGAGCGAGTCTTTATCCGGCGTGGGGTGATCCTGTGGTAGTCAAGCCACCTATTGTACTCATAGACTTCATAGAGCTTACTTCTGGAATGAAGGTCCATTGGGTGTACAGATCTACATGTGTCGGTAGGTCTACGGCCAACAGGCTGAGAGATAGTTCCACGTTGTCTTTTATAGTTTTGAGCTGTGTTTGTTTCGGCAGCTATAAACAGAGCACTGCCCTATCCAATCGTCCTTATGTGATTTTTATCAACATACAACACATATTTAAGTAAACAATGTCAATTTGTGAATCTCAGTATTATCAAAGAGCTTGTAATGAGTTCTTAAAAACAAATATGCATTTACGTATGTGCCTATGCATTGTATTTGTATGTGTGTGCAAGAGTTGAAACAAAGAACCGCTAAAAAAATAAAATACGATCGGGAAGCGGCAGGCCTCATTTTTTCTGGCTCTTACTGAAAAAGGTGCGTATTCTGTGTATAGTATATATAAGACCATATTTTGTTGTAATAAATTCAACTGATTTAACTGAAATGTCTGTTCTTTTTACTGTTCTCTTTTCTCGCTTTTTCAATTAAGCTTTCCTACTAGACTTACACGCAATAGAATATTACACGAAACTGCTGTAGTCAATTATAGAGTGCACAAAACTCTTATACAGAATAAATAAGGTACTGGGGCTCTAGCCCCACCAAGTACCACATGAAACTCGAAAAATATTCATGTTAGTTGTGCATATTTTATGTACGTGATTAGTGTGAGAGTCAAAGATTAGTTGAAAAAAAGAAATAACACCCAGAAATTTGACGTTGTTCCGAGAGACAATGCTTTGACCTTTTATACATACAGTTGTATGACCTGGAATTATATTTTTTTTTGTTAAGATGGATAAACTTCGAGCATTTTAAGAACAAAAATATCAAAGCCAATTGTGGATGATAAAGATTTGCATTTGTAGTCGAATTGGCTCTTTCGAGTACGTTAATGTTATTTATTCTAGTCTTTGATTTTATAGCTTTCCCGCGCGTCGTCATTAAATTGAGATGTATAGATTAAACCAGGTATGTACTGTGTTATTTGAGCCACACATTGGGAAAAGAGGAGTGAACTCAAGACAGCTCCTTGTGAGAGGACTTCGTATAATAATCTGTGAGAGTCTTGGCTATTGCTGGTAAAATTCAGACGGTCATGAATAAAAAGTTGATAAAATTAAAAATTTTAAAGGAACATCTTAGATTAAACAGTTTTTGAAGAAGAATGTCAATGTTAACGTTGCCAAAGGCCCCCTCGACGTCAAGAACGACAGCATAGACATCCTGTTTGATCTGAAAGGCTGATCCGGCAAACATGGAGAAGTTAAGAAGGTTGCTCGTACATGAGTTTGCTTTGCGGAAATCATGTGGGCTGCTTAGGATCAGAGAATGAATTTCAGCTACACATTTTGTACATTTTTAATGATGGTTCTAAACAGCTTACAGATACATTGGATGAGAGAAATAGGTCGAAGCCTGGGCATCTGATTTTTTAATAAATAAAACAAAAATATTTTTCCAAGAGTCTGAAAATAGGCTTTGGTCATACATTTTGTTTAAAATGTCTAGTAGAAGTAGTTTGTACTTGATTAGAAGTCTTTTCAGGATTCAAAAGTTTATTCTATCAATCCTCGGGGTGAAACTGTCTTTTTTGTCATCTAGAACTGTATTAACTTCAATATTCGTGAATTGGCTGTTGAGGAAATCATTTCAAAGGCACGTCGAGATTAAGTTGAGGTTTGTTCAAGCCTAAGGAGAATACAGTTTGTCAATAGCATTATGATAATTGCGAGACTGTAAGTTTTCATTGACAGAATTGGGTTTAAGGTTTACCCAACCGTTTTAGAGTATCTTGCCTCTATTCCACACATAAAAAAAGTTACTGCAAAAGTCTAAGCTTTCTGAAAATTTGCGAAAATTTTCTTTTTCTTTCCATTTCAGTAAATTTCTAAACTCGGCAGTACGTCTTTTATACAGGATTAAATCGTCTTGATCTAAAGGAAACTAAAATTTTTTGAAGGCTGCTCGCCTGAGTCTCTTGGCACGGTCACAGTCACTGTCTTACCAGGAAACATGGTTAACATGTGTATGCTTAGAAACAGGACTTCTGGTTGGAGATATGTGGGTTATGACACCAGCAACTGTTTCAGTGAAAAAATTAAGTTTGTCATTGGGTGCTAAGTTTTCGTAGTCTGAAGAAGTAGGTGTTCACAATTTTCTTCCAGCTGTTCGTTAACCCCGTTCCAGTCTGTACAGGTAGATTTTAATTTAAATGATTCTGTTTTATGCAGATATTATTTAATCAAGATCTTCATAAATATAGAAAAGGGGTCAAAACTCCAGGTTTTATCCCGTACTTCTAATAATAATTCTTACATAATTGCTGAAGTTACTAGAGGTCACTATTAAGTCTAGATTAGACTTATGGTTTGTCCGTTTGTTAATGTACGTGTAGGAGTTAAAAGTGTAAAAAAGAAGATTATGGGCCTTGTAGGCTTTTTTTAAGCTAATGCCATCAGCGTCAGTGTTTACACGATTCCATGACTAATTATGAGCGTTAAATTTGCCCACAAGTATAAAGTGATGGTTTTTATTGACATTTTGCACGATTTCAATCCACTGTTCTTGAGAAAGTATGAAATAAATAATAAGATCAATGCTAGGTTGAATGCCATTAAGTCGTAATCTACACATTTCCATCGCATTGCATTTAGCCTAGATTCTACACATACTATAACGTCAAAAATATTTTGCTACTTGTTTAGTTTCAATGAATTTTTTGCTACAACGCTTACATTGTAAAATCAAATTCTTAAAGCGTAAATGTGAGTTAAAGAGGTAAGACACAATCTTTCAGAGAAGAGGCAAAGCGGGGTCAAGGATGTGGGAAGCTCACTACATCACCGACAGAACGTAATACAGCTTATTCCTATGCAATTTATGCATCCATCTTATAAACCTAACCAAAGTTTTTATTTTTATTTTGAAAAATCGTGATTTTCTCTCAATTGTAATGGGTACTGATAAAAATCTGAGGACCATATGAATCCGCAGTTTTGGAAGTATCGAAATATATAATAGTTTTGAGGTGGTTAAACTTTATCTTCTTCTGAGCGTGTTGATTCCGGTAGGGGTCTTTTGCCAGCTTTGATGGGCAAAGCAGTAAAGTTAAGACCAAAGTTTTCTTAAAAGTTGATACGAGGAGCTGTAAATGTTGAATTTGGGTTCTCTTTAGTAGATGATTAATTCCAGTTAGGAGCAGTCATGGTTCCAGGTTTAATAAGGTCGTTCAGATTATTAGATGTCCGTGCAAAAAATTTTATTTGATATTATTAGCAGATTTCCAGTTGTTTGGTGTAGTGATGCTACTGTCCATTGATAGATTATTTTGAATAGCTCTCTCATTACAGTATTTGACCAGGTGTCCCTTCTGGGCACATACCGCATAAGTCATTTTAGACGACGACAGGTAAACGTTGCACTAAATTTCTTCGTGAGTTATCTGTATGTTTGGAGGAACACTGTTTATTGAACTTGGGTGAATTAAAAAAGGTGGGGTGAAAATCTGGGAAGATTAATTCTGGATTTGATGAGTTTTATATTTGATACCATTTTTACTTTTAGTTTTTTAAGTTCTTATTCGGTTACTGAGTTTGGAATACACAATTAATCATTGGAGATAACAATTTGGATATATTTTGAGTTAAGGGGTTTAATTGGTAGAATCGAGTTACCAACAGTTAATTCAGCTTCTTTTATCAGTAAGGTTTTTACTGTTAAGGTAAAAGCATATCCTACCTTGACCTATTCGAGAAACATCAAGAACATCTGTTGGGTTCACTATTTCGGCAAAAGCTAGAGCGTAGTCTTAAACTGGTAATCCATCAACTGCGCTGACAACGATTGCCTGGTCACTACAAGGACATTAGTTGCTAAACGATGAGTCATTGCTGCTGGTAGGTTAGGATTGGGCTTACTCCTATAGTCAGAAGTAATAGCACGAAAAGAAAGAGTATTATTTGTTTAGAGGACGCAACTAGAGTGAGTCAGCGATCCAGCGCTGCAAGACCATTGCTAGGCGCAACAATTCACTTTTTCCCAACTTTCTTATTTACGGTAAATGTAGAAAACTCGTAGAACTCCGCACTCATAGGTATCGTACCACACGATCTATCCCAACCTTTATAGTTACTTAAGAGTACTTGATGAAAGAGAAACGGTAAATTCTGGTATATGCAAGGAGTTTTTATACTCTTCCATTTACGAAGGACTCGTCAGATTAAGAATCTGACCGACCAATTAATGCTAAACCTAATAGTTTTTAGTGGACACAAGCACAATTGTAGCGCAA